TTGTTATTTTTCCAATATTTATATTTCCTTCATTTATGATAAAAATACGATATCTTCGGATCATATCTCGATATATTGAATACACGGTTTTAACTAAATTAAAAAATTACACATCGTTTCGATTTCTAAAATGTATTTTATTAATTAATCATATTTTTATTTTTATTCTTAAAAATTCAGGTTATGATTTTTTTTATTTTAATATGAATGAAGATGAAATTGCTTAAGCTTAAAATTGTGATTTTAATAAATAAATTTCAATTTCAAAATAATTTTTTCTTGAAAAAAAAGCACATCCAAATATTAAGATTGTGTTTGAAAATTATGTTTGAAAATCATTGAATATGAAATTTATGCTTGTACTTACATCTTTATTCAATTAACTTCAATTCGGTAGTTTATATATCTATTTTTATCAACTTATATTATCTGCTTTATTCATGTATAAAGTGTTTGAATTACTTTTAAAGCTGTAGGTTGGAGAATTTTATCTACAGAATTTACGTGAAGTTATTCTTCATTTTTCATTCATTTTTGAAATGTTGATTATTAACTATTGATGATGAAATATTTTGCAAACATTGACTAGATCAACTATACATCTAAAGAATATTTATTCCTTAGAAATTTTTGTTTTGAAAAACAATTCTAGCCTACGTTTTAAATTTATGTTGTGATACATATAAAGATTCTGATTTTGTACATTGATTATATTAATATGTGTAAATTTTTTGCAAATTTGATAAATTGTGATAATTTTAAACATGAAATAATTTGTTAAATGATATATTAATGATAACTTATTTAAAAATTTATTCATTGTATATTTTCAAAATTATAAATCGAATATATAGGTTACATTTTTCTTGAAAAATATATATAGTATTGTACATCATTGCATTATGTATTACATCATAAGTTGAAGATTTTGATTGACTTTCACTTTTATTTTGTTTGCAGATCAAATATATTTGTGTGAAATATATTTATATTTACATTGCTTCTCACATCAAGATTAAAAATATTTTAAAAAGGTTCATTGTGTTTAAAATTAGATACAAAGATTGAAAACAATTGTTATTTTGCTCCATCAACAAAATTAAAAGGTTTTTGTTACCTGCAGCATAAATATATGAATATGAAAGAATTGTAATTGCAGAAAATTGATTGTTGATTCAGATTCCAAATCTACAATTTTTCAAAATGAAAGATGCTCAAGCATTACAAAATTCAATAAGAAAATCATTTCAAATATTGAATAAATATATAATAATATCTTTGTAAGGTGATGAAATTCTATTCTCTTTCTTCGGAGATGTGGGAAAATATCGACATTTGAATACAGAAATTTCTTCAAAATCTTAAGAGATTTGTGCAAGATAAACTGAGCATTTTTTAAAACTCCGAGTCTTTCTATAGAGAAATGTTGAATAGAAGCAATTTTTGTTGCAACTTCTTCGATAAGATGATATCACATTGTGCATAAAATAAATTGAAATAATCTCACTTACAACCTCCACTCTCGTGAACCCAACCGACTTCAGAGAACTTAATAGCTAGCCCTTCGAGGTTGAAGAAACCCAAACTAAGTGTATATTACTCGCTTTTGTTAAAAATAATTTTAAAGCATGGTTTTTGAGTGACCTACACCAATTTGCATACACCACACTCACTCGTGTGTTTCAAACATCTCCCATTAGTTTAATGTAATTTTTATTTAATGTGAATCACACTACTTTCTTGAGTGATTAGTTAAAGTGATCCATCCTAGTTAAAGAATGTCCGTGAAATGAAAGGATTCTAATGGAGTCAGACCAACTCAAAACTACACGGTTGCTATGGTTGCGTCTGACCTCACTCTACACCATTCGCGAAAGACATCCGTTAAGTTCCACCTCCAGCTATAGGGGGTACACCGAACATTCTTTCTCAAACTACACTCCATCGGCATTTATGTACACAAGCTTCACTATAGAGCACTTGTAGGCTTTTGAATACCACAACAACCTGAGAGGAAAAAAAAAATTAAAAATAAGTCTCAGCTTCTTTCAAGGTATAGATCTAGGTCTTTGCTTGCACGATGCAACTAACATCTGTCAGATACTACTACTAAAGATTTAGTACAGACAATTATTTCTAATTTTCCCAAAGAAATTAACACTATGTTGGGAAAAATAGAAAAAATTCTTTTCTCCTCCTCCTGTCAAGTACGGATCTAGACGTAAGGACTCCTTCCATAGCCGGTCAAAAACTGTGGGGACATCATCTCTTGCTGGCTTTTATTTATGGCCAGAGCGTCGCTTCGTTCTGAAGCTGTCGAGATTCCGGCATTCAGAGGGAGAGTTACGGTGCCACCGGACTTCCACGTTCTCCGTTGGGAAGCTGGAGCGGACAGGCCACGATCTTGCCCATGCATCCCCGTCTCTCGAAGTCCGAATCACCGGATACTTATCATCGCCCTTTGTCACTCAACCGTTACGTTTCGGTCGTCATGTACTGTACAGGATTGAGCTTCGTGACCTGCTCCTCCTCTTTGCCCCCCAAAAGATTCACCGGACAGACATATCCACCAGTTAGTTTCCAAAGGGCCTTCACCTCCCGAACTGGAAAAATCATGTTAAACAGCACCTTCCCAAATTCTTACATCTCTTTTATCACAAAATTCCAATGCCCAGAGCAATTCATTTGGCTCGACCCCCTTCTAGAAATAAAGATGTTCGATGAGATTTCTCAGTGTTAAATGTGAAAATAAAAATTCGTTCGCAGATGGATTAATAAACATAAGCATATTATGCATTAAATAAGTTTTATGCATAATATGCTTAGCAGAGAGAGCGTCATTCCCGGGAGTGAGAACGGAATTCCGAGCAGCTGCACGGGGTAATGTAAAACATGAGCGAATTAGAGGAGGGCGATGATAGACTCGGATAGAGCTTCGGCAATTAATAAATCCTGGAAGAAATGGCTTCAGATATTTTGGCCCGTAGCACGCATGCTTGCATGCATGCATGCGCTGCCGCCACCAGCAGCAGCAGCAGCCGGGTTCGAACCGGCTCGCGAGAGGAGAGGATTAGTTAGAGGATTAGTTCGAGCCCCGAACACACGCGCGCTGACCTGACGGAGGGTGAGGAGGAAGGAAGGAGGGGGTTCGAACTCGAGGAGGCGGTGACCATCTCTCGCGGGCCGGGCCCATGTGATAATGAATTATGAAGCAGTCAGGTTTGAGAACGTGACGTGATTGTCTGCTGTGTGTGCAGAGGGAGCAAAAGATTGGCTGACCGACGGCCTGACCGACTTGACTTTGTCTGTCTGGACGCGTGTTCCTGTACCGACACATTCGGGGAGCGCATATGGAGGCTGTCACGGGGCAGCACCGAGCGCGGGCAGCAACGAAGGAAGGAATGAATGACTGAAGGAAAGAAGCAAGGCCCAGTCTCTGTCATATTTGACTCGACCATGTCGCTCTCATCGAATCCGTATCTCTCCACTGCCCATGCGTACATCTTCAAGTCTACGCTCGTATCTATCACTCACGTACTCCCCCTGCTGACTGGACCGGACCGGACCGGCCGGGGGGAAGGAGGGTAGGCAAGCGGTGCCCGGCCTCGTGTCCACTGGCGGGCTGAGTGCAGCCGGCGAGCCGAACGGGTGTTCCACCCCCCAACCTGAGTGTGCATCGCCGGCGAGGATGGGAGGGATTCCGGCGAGCGGTTCGGGGAATGGGAGCTTCACGAGCAGGAGCACGAGAGAGAGACCTGGGCACGGAGGCCGGGTTCCGACGGTGGTCAGCGGCAGAGGCCGCAGAGGCCCATGTCCCGGCAGCAGCAGAGGGGGAGCAGGGGTGACGGTAAGAGGGCAGCCATGGACATCTGTTCTTATCTGCATTGATGGGCCTGTGGATGAGCCGGATCCATGGCCGCCAGCTCATTCCTCGACGGGGGGAGGAGGTGTAAGAGGTGGAAGAGAGAGAGAGAGAGAGAGAGAGAGGATTGTTCTATCGAGAGCTCCATAGCTCGCTCTTCTGCTGCCTGCCGCAGCGCGCATTGCTTTGCGATGCTTTACGGTGGCAGTTACCTCTTCCAGGAGGAAGAGACACAAACAGTCACCTGGATTGGAATTGTGCTCTGGCCATAAAGGAATTCCTGTGTGTCAATCATGACGACGTAGGTCGAACGTATGGCGAGCTCGCCCGACAGGTCCAACTGCTCGAGCCCTGCCTAGTCCCGTGTCTTTCACCTCTACGATCGACCCTCGCCACCACTTTCGAGCTGAGCCAAGCCGCACGCCTCTTGCATCGACGTCGCCGGGGCGCTCCTCGTGACGCCCAATATTGGGCTGGTTGTTCGATTGACTGACTGCGAGGAGACGTATGAGTGAAAAAGCTGAAGATTCACTCGCGCACTCGATCGAAAGCTGCAGCGGGCGGGCGGGGATGGGGGGGATTTTTCCGTGGCCCATTCCGCTGCTCGTCGCAGCGGAAAGGACTCCCTCCCATCCGCGATCGCAGGATCGATTGATCGCCTCCGCGCGAGCCCTTATCCAATCGAGCTCGCGGAGCACCAGTGCCTCCACTCACTGGCTGCTACATCGGGTGAACTATCGCAGTGCGCGCCCACAAGGTGCACGATCACGACGACATCGCGACTCTGCTCGTAACCGACCCCGTAAGTGAATTAAGCGTACGCTAAAACAATCGCATCGCATCATCGTATGTAACATCATCGCACATGTCCATTTCACGTGACGAATCCAGCATTTCCACGTCTCATGTGTCATGGCGAATGTTCCTGACCACAGCAGACGAATTACCAAAAAGCTAATCGATGCTTAACGGTGGTAAAATCCATAATTCATACAACACCGTAGGATTACGACGACGAAGCATGCAGACGACAGACAGGCTCTGGTCGTGAGAGAGGAGAGGACTCCGAGTGCAAAAAAAAAATTTCAGCTTTCTACAGAACACAAAATCTTACAGCTCCATCAGAAAATCATTTGCCCCAGACTTCTCTAGAGTAACAAAGTGTCCAGGGATGCTACAGATCATGGACATGGTGATCGAACGAACCCCTGCCTTCAATTGAATGTGCCGCTAATTTCAGTCCAATGAAGAAATTCCTGGCACCCATTTGGACATAGCTCCTGATGCGTTCTGACTCTCGGAACAGGAAGGTTGAAATCCACCCGGGAGCAGACAAAAGAATGAAAAAAAACGAGGAAATGGAAGATTATGTGACCTCGCATCTACATTTCACATGAATCAAAAAAGGATGAATGGCATCATGCAAGCAGAGGCCCGCAGGCTCTATCACGGACTAGCAGCTGTAGAAGCAACGAGACCAATGTACACTTTTCTAACCTCAACTTCTCTCTAAGGTATGGTCTTCAGTGTAGTGTTCAGAATCACTGAGATCACATCCGTTCCACCAGCCCTTCTCCATGTCGCCGGCGAAACACATGATTTGATTTACAGAGGAGATATCGACCTACTATGTCAAACAAGGGCAATTCTTGCGAGCCCATCCTCAGATACACTCCCCGTCGAAGTAGCCACCAACAAGCAACATGTCCCGAGCGCTCTCCTCAAGAGCCTGCACCCGCTCTTCATTCTCTTCTCGCTGCGCCCCCCGCACCACCACCAGCACAATCATGCGGGCCGCCGCTAGCTACATGTGGGAAAGAAAGTCCCAGATTCAACACGCTCTGTATAATTTTTTCCCCCGTCAGCATCAGCAACATAAACCGCAGGCAAGGAGGCCTGATTCGCCCGCCCCCACCCCATCCGGTAGTGCACGTCCGCACCAGAAATTGCGTACAACCTCTGTGCTTCTTGGCACTTTACCTCCAATCTACGTTCTATTGTCGGCCCCTGCCTGCCTGCCTGCCTGCCTGCAGAACCCGACACTGTGCTCTCGGAGGAAGACAAAACACTCCACGAACGACGGCAGCCTCTGCGCAAAGGTTCATCGTCGTCGTCGTGGAGTACTCCGTTCGGCCAAACTTACATCATCGACGAGTCGACGACAATTTCCTGCCACCGGTGCAAGAGAAAGCACGATCTTTCATCGCCACTCCATGATTAGGAAGGCCGCTCGGGCTCCCTTCCTAAACGAACGAACGAACGAACGAAGGACCAACCCAACCCAACCACCGCCCGCCCCATTCCCCGTCCTCGAACGATTTCGCGACCATCTGTGCATGCTCGCGAAGCTCTCACCTGCCCGAACCAGCAAAACCCACGTGTGGAAACTAATCCACGCTCGCCTCTTCTTGCACTTGTCCACCCGCCCGCCCAACCTCTGCTCCCCGTGTGGTTCCGAGCACCTCCGCCATCAAATTGAACTGATTTCACTCCTAATCATGGTCAGTCGATGTGCAATCCACTGATCCGTCCAGTCCGCCTGTTGAATGTAAATGCTACTATAATTGAACGATCGCAGTCAGATCATTGGGGTGCACCATGTATGGCATGTCGGTGACCCACTGCCACTGCGCCCGGGCGGTCTTCAGATCACATACACAGCAGCGGATGCTCATCAAATTGGGGTAATTCACCTCGTACAGGTAAATCATGCACTGATTATCCTTACCTGCAACACATCCAATGTACCAAAGCCACGTACCCTTCTCGAGAGGGGGAATGGGGGCCACCTCGACCCATTCCATCTTCGATTCCTCGAGTCGCCAAACACTAATCGAAGTTTCCTCTTTCATGTGCGGCCCGTCCTCGACCTTGAACAGCTTGCCGCCACAAGACACCAGGTGGAAATGATGGTACCGCGGGGGTGCGGTCGAGTTGTGCGTCATGGGAAGGCGACTCCACATGCCCTTCTCGACGTCGTACGAGGCCACCTCGTTGATCAGATTGAGCCTGCGCGAGTAGACGAGGAGCTTGCCATTGTGCACGGTGCCGAAGCGCACCTCGCGGAACGACGACGGCAGGCTCATGATGTAACTCCAGCGATTGGTCTGCGGGTCGTAAATCTCGGCCGAGCAGAGCGATCTGCGCGACAATCCTTTGCCTCCGGCCACAATGAGTTTGGTGCGCTTGGTTCCTTTCTCGCCCTTCTCCTCAATCACTCCCACGGCGGGCATGTCGCGCGCGTGGTGCATGGGCGGCATCTCCTTCCAGGTGTTGGTGACGGGATTGTACACCAGAGCGCTGGACGACGAGCAGCAACCGCCCACGAGATATATGAGTCCGCCTCCGACGACGAGGGAGTAATGATTGCGGCCTGCGAGGATCGGAGCCCGGATGAACTGCGACTTCTTGTACACGGGATCGTAAGCGAGAATGGCGGCCTCGCTGTCGCGAGATTCAGGCTTGAAGATGAAGAGCCATGGTTCGTGGTAGCCCGAGAGCGCTCGCAATTGCAGGAAGGACGGCGACAGCAGCAGCGCCCGCCATCGCTTGCACACCAGGCGAAGGCGCACCAGGCACCTCCAGGGAAGGCGCACGAGGCAGAGCTCGAGCAGATCGTTCGGCAACGAGTTCTGGTCCATCAAGGACTCTTCCTCGAACGGTTGCCACCTCTCCTCCTCGCGCTTGAGCTTCTGCTGCTCCAGAAGCTTGCGTGATTGCAGCCGCGTGTTCGCTGCTGGGCCGAAACCCTTGCCATTATTCGCATCCTTGGCCGGGGCGGTGTTTTTGGGGGCGACCACGGGTTTGTGCGAAGGCTGGTAGCGAGACAGCTGCGAGAAATGGTAGGACAGATGATTGGTCTGCGACGGAGTCAAGGCCGACGAAAAGGTCGACGTCTGCGGTGGAACAGGCGTCGCGAACGAGTGAAACAGAGACGAGATGGTATTATTGACCTGGTGGGAAACGATGGAGGAGGCAGACGATTGCTGCTGCTGCGACACGGAGATGGTGTCGCTGGACAGAAACGGAAGAGGAGGCTGCTGCGCCAGAGGGGTGGGAGGCAGAGGCAGAGGCAGAGGCAGAGGCAGGGACTGGGAAGAATTGGATTGATTGGAAAAGGATTCCATGGAGCAACGGAGCACGCCGACGCCTACGATGATCACAAGCCCTGACCCGCCCCCGATGCGCTCCTCGTCTCACTCCCCGAAACTGCACCACCGCACGCCCCGGCAGCACCAGCGGGCCCAGCATTCAACGACACACTCTCGAATTCCCGCTCTCCCCCCATGAAAAAATACCTCCACATCAATCGATCGCCCCTCCTCCACTCGCGCTCCCCCCTTCCCCCCCCTCAAGCCCTCCCCACCTCCCTCACCGCCTCCGCTCGCTGCCGCCAATCCCAGCAAAATTCTCTCATCTGATTCCTCCCCTCCCCTCTCTCCCCTCTCTCTCCCCTCTCTCTCCCTCTCCTCGCTCCCGATCAAAAACCTCCCGCACTCCTCGGCAATCGATGAACCAAAGGCTCTCGTTCTCGACCTCCCCTCTCTCTCTCTCTCTCTCTCTTTCTCTCCCCCTAACTCCTCTCTCTCTCGCTCGCTCGTCCAAGTCCTCCTCTCGAAATCGATCGACTCCGCAGCAAATCAATCGCGCAGCTCACGAGAGGCTCAGAACAAGAGAGAGTGGGGCGGAGGGGGATTTTAAAGGAATGAGAAGGCAGCGCAGCAGCAGCAGCAGCAGCCCGGCCGGTCGCACTGACAGCACTGAGCGCCGGGCGCCGATCAGGACCACCACGCCGTGCGGAGCAGCAGCAGCAGCAGCAGCAGAATCAGAGCCGGACGACAGCACCAGCACCAGCACCAGGACGACGACCACCACAACAACGACGACGACGACGACGAGAAGAGGAGACAGACAGCGAGAGCGAACGAGCGAGCGAGAGGACGAGAGGGGAAGACACAGACACAGAGAGCGAGAGGGAGAGAGAGAGAGAGAGAGAGAGAGAACGCAAAGAGAGGCGGACGAGGAAGACAGTACACTTGCTTGCAGCACTCGTCGTCCTTCCGCCCCGAGCCTGCAGTCCTACGCTTGCCAGCTCCGGACCGGTCCAGGCCCCCGACCTAACGTAGCCTGACAGCCGCAGTCCTCGTCGGCCTCGTCGTCTTCGTCGTTCCCCCCCCGGACCGGACCGAACCGACCGAGCGAGCGAGCCGGCCTCGGTGCCGGTCGGTTCGGGGCCGGGCGCGACGACTCTCTTTTCTTAGGCTTTAATTTGGTGCTTTTCTCTGGGGCGACCTGCTGTCTGGGCCTGGGCCTGTCATGCTGATCTCACCAACCAACCCCTCCGCTCCCCGGGTCCGGCCTCCGGTTTTACCAGCACCTCTCCCTCCCTCGCGAGCCCCGCAAGGACATGTACCGCCGTGTTCCGACGGCCGTTCCCAAGACCTAGACCGTCGTGTCGGTACTGGGAAGCGGAGAGGACGCGCGGTCGGCCGGACGGACGGACGGACGGACGGCTCCATTATGTGCCGGTATATTCGCCTCCGATTCCCTTCTCGCGTCCAGGTTCATCCCCGTACCTGCGGATGTCACCATCGTTCCGCCCTCCCTCCCTCCTCATACGATTCCATTCCCTCGCCCCGCCATATACGCTGACCACATCCGACGGCAGTCCGAGTCATGAGAGTCCCGCACTCCTTCCTCTCCGTCTGTCAACCTCGCCCCGTTTTGACTTCGGGTCTTCGCTCCCCCTCCTGTCGCTTTCCGCTACCCGTGGTCCACTCGACCGTAGTTAGTTTCGTCCGCCCCTCCTCCTCCTCCTCCCTCTTCCTCCTCCTCTAAACGCATCTCTTCGCTGCGCCCACCTTCTCTCGGCGTTTGAAATGTCAAATGCCGGTGAGGGTTGGAATGCCGGTAACGGCTCGGCCCGTCCCCGCGGCCGCCTCGCGTAATCGACGCGCGTCGTCGTCGTGGAAGGTTAACCGGTAAACAATCCGGTGCGGACTGGAGTCCGAAAACCGCGCTCGAATGATTGTCCGGATTTACTATTTTATTCGCCGGTCTCCCTCTCCCTCTCGTTTCCGTTGGAAACGGCTTGTCCTTTTCCCCCGACTTGTATTTTAGTAAAATTTAGAGTTAAAAGAACAAAAATAAATTCTACTAATGGTTGCAAAATTTATGGAAAAATGATAAGATTTCATCGTAGGCTAAAAGTTAACTTTGTAATTAGTTATGAATATTATTTTTGAATTTGATGTATGATTTTTGAAATTTAAAATATATACCATTAAGTTCAAAGTAAATTTTAAATTTCTGATATTTCAAATCAACAATTTGAAATTTGATTGACAAGAATTGAAACTAATTTGAATGACAAAAAAACAATTTCAATTGAAACTAATTGATGAAATCACATCACACTTGCAAGATATTAGTATGAAAAAAACTCTAGTCAATAATCCAAAAAAATTGATGTTGAATATAATTAATTTAATCTACAAAATTGTGAATAGGAATATAGTCAAAAAATCCTGATAAAAACTAAACCATTGATAATTATGTGAAAATTTTCAATAATTTGTAAAATATTAAAAAAATGCACTATTGATCCAAAAATATTAAAACGTGTGAAGTATTATATTAGAAGCTACTAATGTTTTGATGAAATAAATCAAGTAGGAATCATACATTTTATTTTTTAAAACATTTTACTATTTTTGATCAACAATTAAAAGATATATGAATTCAGGATTCATAATGACATCTTCTATATGAATTACTACAAATTATTTATTTCGTGATTGAGTTGTGATTTTTCTGCCTTAAATTGAGCAAAATAATTCATATGGAAACAAGTAGAAAATATGTAGCAGTTTATAGAATTTGATTAACTATATCTATAACTAATACATATTTTGAATTGATTATCATATTATTAATATTATTAAAATAAAAGTCTCTGCTAACACGCATTTTTAGATTTGTGTCAAACAAAATCGACGCAATGATAAAAAATATCCTCATGCATTCATGTTTAAAAAATTATAAGAGTTGTATACTTTTAAAATTTTTTTATCACTTTATCTCATAGATGGAATTTATTTTTAATTTTATAAATTTTGATGAGGATTCATTAAGGAGAAAAAATATCGATTGAAATGATAACGATCAAAGATTTCATGGAGCATATTGATTACATATTATATGTGTTGAATGAAAATTTTCTGATAGTTTGAATTTGACTAAGATAACATATTATTAAAATATTGATTATTTGTATAAAAAATCACATTTAGTTGATTCACAATAAAATGTGAATATATTTGAAATCAAATGTTCACTTTTGATGCATTAGCTTATTTGTATTATCAGAATGTACAAGTGTATTTTATTATAAGTTAAATTTTTTGTCACTTACAAAATTACATCAGTTATTGAATATAAAATAATGAATACCAAAAATATTTTGGATTTTTTTCAAACAAATTTATAAAATTTTATAACAATATACTTTGGTAGCTACCATATATAATTTTCAATATATAAAAAACTTGAAAAAATCTTTGATTTTATAATTATTTCAATAAGAAATATTTGATTGAATGTTTCGTGTATACATCATATGAATTACCTTGGATACAGAATAAAATCCATCTAATTCACATTTGATAAAAAAAATACTTGATGGAACTGTTCAGGAAATTAATAATTTTTTCACATCCAACACAATTAATTATACTTAACGGATTTACTGGATATATTTTACATCTTTGGATATAATATATCTATGGATATATTATATTTTACCTCCCCGACTTTATCAGGGCCCCTATAATCCTCCGTTGAAACCAAACCGGCTCGGCCCGCGTAATCGACGCGCATCGCCGTCGTGGAAGGTTAACCGGTAAACTATCCGGTGCTGACTGGAGTCCGAATGATTGTCCGGATTTATTATTTTATTCGCCGGTCTCCCTCTCGCTCTAGTTCCCGTTGTAAACGACTTGTCCTTTTTCCCTACCTCCCCGACTTTATCAGGGCCCCTATATTCCTCCGTTGAAACCAGACCCTACCCAACCTAACCTAACCCAACCTGGTGGGCTTTCGCACACCGACTTGTTTCTTTTAGCACCCAACCCCCCCCCCCCCCCCCCCTTTCTAAAACCTCCGGCTTCCTTGTCAAGGAAGCTTACTCTTCAAGATAAGTTAAAGTTAAAGTTGTAATTAAAGGAATGTCTCTGGTGTCGACCAGGACATGTACCGCAGCGAATTTTCGGCGGAATTCGTCTTTGAATTTTTTCTTGGATTTGCTTTGATTCTAAGGAATGCTAGAGAATAGAGTAAATCCCGGCGGAGGCCAGGGGACACCAAATCGGGAGAAAAATCAGAGCAAGCACTCGGCAATGCGAAATAAAACAATTAAAAATTAATGGGGGAGCACCGACCGGAAGAAGACGCTCCTGCAGGGAGGTTACACCGGGCGGACTCGTCCCGAGATGAACTGCTGACATACCACCGGTTGGTTCACCCGCAATACCGTCATTTTGCTTGACACATGTCATTTGACCCCAAGAGATGAAATGTGTACATTTGTAATGTAATTCGGATTCCTTACTATAAGAGGATTTTGGGTCGCCTCCAAAAATTTGCTATTTAAAACGTGGGGGGAGTGAATAAAACAGATTGATAAATACGCTGGAGCTAAGTGCACTCGAAGTTGGGCAATATGATTGTGGAAAAGGATTTTAGAATTTGGAACCAATCTAGGAAGCTCCGGGTGAGTCCGCCGAGAATTCCATCAACGTGGATTACCGTGCTCAGCGTAAGGAGAAGAAAACCGAAACGAATCTCCAAAGTGCCGAAGAAAAGTCATCCGCCGGATAACAGAAGAGGAAAGATTGCGCAATAATTCCGATGAAGTTCTCCCCCAGCGACGCTGTGGGCTGCTTAAATTAATCTCCAAAAATCATTTATTATAAGAAGAATGGGAAAGAAGAAAAAAATACAATCTTGGTCTCTCTTTCCTGGTGGCTGGCGGGGCTCATTTATTTCCCAATAAACGTTTCTCGGGGCTCCCGCAGGCAAAAGAGCTTTTTCTTGCACCCGTGGAAGTCAATCGCATGGAGAGGTCCAC